TGATTACATTGAACTTCCCTCTTTAAAAAAAAAATAGCCACAAACTCGGGGACCCAAAAAGTAGAGGGAATCCCCATGCCAGCCCGTTTGGACGTGGCCAGGTTCATGCTGAGCAGACTGCGAGATTCCAGCCTTGCGATGCTTGGGCGACAGTTCCTCTTGGGGTCTGGGGCTCCTTCTGCCCCGATTCTTGCCTTTCTCAGCCCACACTGAGCTGCCACTCTTTCTGTTACTTTAGTTACTTAGGTGTTCGCTCCTGTCTCCTACATTTGTCAGGCCCTGTGGGCACCCCTGCTCCCCCAGGATGGACTTCTACTGGGACATTTGGTCAGAGTGACCCCTGAATGTGCATCTCAGACAGGCTCTGGTTTGGCCAACACTTTGGTGGCCAAATAGGGAGGGGAGAGAGGGAGAATGCTCTTCATCAGAAAGTCTCTTTCTATGGGCAGTGACTGGATCAATCAGACCGGCCCCGTGGCCGGGGATGTGGCTGGGGGTGTGGCCGAGCACCTGGAGGACACTGGCCCACTTTCAGGGGGACACAGCCGTGTCTGACCTGCACTTTGCTGGCAGCACCAGCAGCCCTCTTCAGAGTTCTGACAGGTTCCCAGAACCTCCGAATGCCCAGAAGGTCCCACGTGCCACGTCTGCGTCAGCTTAGGCCTCTGTGGGTGCTTAGGCGTCCGTGTGCCGTGGAGTGGGGGCAGCAGGACCCCCACAGGCAGGATCTGATCTGTCCCCATGAATGTGAGCGTGTTGCCTGGGTCCTGTCTCTGGCCCCCTTCTGAGAAGTGGAATGTCCTGGCCACGAATGTAGAATCAGGGCCCCAGAAACTGCCTAAGTGGCTCAGTTCTCCATTTCCCATGGGTGCTCCTGTCCCCACAGCCTCTGTTCCCCTTTTTTCCTTTTCACTGAAATTTAACACACCCCTCTGGTAGCATTCGCACCGTACCCCTCGGAACCCGCTGAGGGCTTTGCTTGTTTTTATCTGCACATTGGTTAGCGCTGTTTGGAAGTTTGGGTGGGACCCAGGGCTCCAACCCGTGAAAGTAAGAGAGAAGACCACAGGCGTAAGGTCCTGGGGGAGCAGAGGCCTCGGCTGGCGCCTGAGGTGGCATCAGACCTGCACCTTCTCGGCCAGAGGCTCGTCCCCTGACTTTCACTGCGCTGACGGTTGCCATGAATGGTGGGCAGTGAACAGAAGGCTGCGGCCGCGGGGCCTTTTCCACATCAGGCTGAATGCCCGTCAGCACAGTGGCTGCAGGAGGAGTTGAAAACCCATGAGATGCCCAGAAATCTCTAGACGGCGGTGAAACCACCACTTCTGGTTGTACATCAGCAGCAGGCTCCACGTCTCTGCCTCCCGTCTCCAGTTTCCACCCCGTAGCCTGAAGATCAGTGACGTCAGTGAGCACCTGGGGAGCAGGAGGTGGTTACAGGTGAGGGGTCCCCGTCCCAGACTCGGCCTCCGCGGGGCGGACGCAAGGTCAAGTCAGGCCATAAACCTCTCGGACTCGGACCAGCGGGCACGGGCGATCCTCGGAGTGGGTCCCAGCCACAGCCAACCGCAGACGAAGGTCGCAGAGGTGTGGAGGTGAAGAAACCACCTCGGAGCCTTTCTCCATTTTTTTCTGGCTGAGATTTCAAGTGTTTCTGACGCTTCCACCAGCAGGAAGCAGGTGCCAGCCCGAATCAGGCAACGTTTTCCCCGCGG